CGGAGCTTACGCTTTTCAGACTGCTTTGAAGCAAGTGTCACGAAGAGAGCTCTGGTTTTCTTCCTGGAAATAGCTGTTACATGACGCTATGCCTGTTGTAACTTGAATATCTGGGAACCGTTAGTCTCAGAAAACATCTCTGGCTCTTGTGTTATGGGTTTCATTTTATAAAGAGAGCTGGTACCACAGGTTTTGTACCTCAAATGTCGTTCCCTTTCAGGGACCTACAGAGTAGCGATCCCCTCCGTGTTTCTCCTACGTAGTGTTTTTTTTTTTTCTTCCTTTGTCTCAGCAGGAATAAAATCCTGTGGGCAAAGCGTCTTCTAAATTCTACTTGAATGAGCTCACCAGCGAGCTGTGCAAATGTGAGGGGCAGGAGCCCTTGCTCTGTCAGTAGGACGGTTTGGCCGAGCCGAGGGGAGGAAGAGGCAGTGATCCCACCTCTGGCTGGGGCTGAGACAGAACAGCTCTCAAGTGCACTCAGTTTAGCAAGCACCCCTGTTTCTTTTTTTCCTTAACCACTGGATCAAAGCAGCTAGGGGCAAACCAAGCTCATCGCAAGTGCCTTGAGGATGGCAGCAGGGCTTGTTTTGCTTCAGGTGACTGTGTATTAAACAAAAACACATTCCATAGCCGCCTTTTTTCCCCAGGAACACTAGTTTGCCTTTCACCACACCTGTAGCTGCATCACACAGTTGAGGTGGTGTTTCTATTCTTGACTTGCTCTCGGGACCACAGCTGCTTCATGCTTGAGGACACCACAGCTAGTGCAGGGGGTGGGCCAGGTCTAAGCTTCCAGGAGGGTGGCTGAGGAGGAGCCTTGGCAGAGCAGCCTGGGAAAAGATGCTACTCCTCATGGAGGAAGGGCGACAGAAACACCAGTTTAGCATTCTGCTTTGAGATGAGCTAGTGACTTGGAAAAAAGGCTGTGTCCCAAAGAAGTCCACTGGCAGCAGTAGAATAAGGCTTCAGCAAAAAGCACAAGCCAATCATAGAATCCTAGAATGGTTAGAGTTGGCAGAGACCTTAGAGATCATGGAGTTCCAACCCCCCTGCCATGGGCAGGGACACCTTCCACTAGAGCAGGTTGCTCAAAGCCCCATCCAGCCTGGCCTTGAACACCTCCAGGGATGGGGCATCCACAACTTCCCTGTGCAACCTGTTCCAGTGTCTCACCACCCTCACAGGAAAGAATTTCTTCCTAATATCTAATCTAAATCTCCCCTCTTCCAATTTAAAACCATTACCCCTTGTCCTGTCACTACACTTCCTGACAGAGTCTCTCTCTGGCTCTCCCATAGGCTCCCTTCAGATATTGGTAGGCTGCTGTGAGGCAAGAGGTAGCAAAAAGGAGAACCCAGCCTTTAGACCTTCAAGAGGGATATTGAGTACAATGTATGGGCTCCTCCAGGCTGCTTAGTTCTCCTGTGATACTCTGGGTATTGTACAGCTACAGCAGGCAGCTAAACATGTTCTTTGCCACTGGAAAATGAAATAAGACAATTTTTTCTGACTTCATGTTGTTCCTCTGTGTGGCTTAGAGTTTCCCATGTTGGGGAACGAACTGAAAATGGAGGGCTGTGGAAACTGAGGGTTCAGCAGCACAAAGCAGCTGCTTCCGTAACTACCAGCGGAGTAACCCAACCTACCACGACCTGAGCTGATGTTTGCAATTACTTCCCGTGTTTCAGTTTCAGCAACACCAAATTCACATCATCAAGCTTATGGTCTAGTCTATCACAATGATCCTTTCCACGCTGCACCAGGTGTCTAGGGCTTGTTTTTTCCCCAGAAATCTAGCAGCTCCACTACACCACAGGTTTGCTGCGAAACTGAGAATGCCCACTGCAGACTCATTTAAGAGCTTGCTCTCCTTTTTGCTTCTGCCTGTAAGACTTGAGGGCCCTAACTGTCCTCTCCTCCCTGTGCTTTGCCTACCAGCAGCAGTGCAAGAAGACCTGCTCAGCCCAGGGGAGAAAACTCAGTGGTCTCAACTCTGCTTGGAACTTGCAGCATGACACAAGGTCAACTGAGCCCTATGCCCTATGGTGTTTTCATTAGCAACTTAATCTGGGACGATGTGTTCCTGCTTCCATTTGTGGTTGATTGGTGCTCAAAGCATTAGTAACGCACGCTGAGAGAAGCAAGGTTTGACTTAAGCCATACTTTTCCAAACACACAAAGAAATACCAGGTTCCATGTTTTCTTAGGAGATAAGATAAACACTACTGTAGTGCCTGAAGAATGGGAGGGACTTCAGCCACCCTGATTATCTGCTGGCATTACAACACAGCAGGACATAATCAATCCAGGAGGTTTCTGGCATGCATCAATAAGAACTTCCTGACCTAAGAGGTAGAGGAGCAGATGAGGAGAGGTGCTCTGCTGGACCTTGTACTCACCAACAAGGGGCTTGTTTGGACTGTGAAGGTCAAAAGCAGCCTTGGCTGAGTGACTATGAGATGATGATCTCATGAGGATCCTGAGAGGAAGGAGGAGGGTAAAAAGCAAGCTCTCAAGCCTGGACTTCAGGAGAGCAGACTTTGACCTCTTCAGAGACCTTCTTGGAAGCATCCCATGTGATAAGGCCCTAGAGGGAAGAGGGAGCCAAAAAAAAACCTGGCTAATATTCAAGACCCACCTCCTCCAGGGTCAAGAGCAGTCCATCCCAGTGAACAGGAAGTCAGGCAAAAATACCAGAAAGTCTGTAGATGAATGGGGAACTCCTGGCTGAACTCAAACACAGAAAGGAAGCATCCAGAGGGTGTAACCAAGGACAGGTAAGTTTGGAGGAACACAAACATGTTGTCCAAGCACCCAGGGATGAAGTTGAGCTAAAGCTCAACTGCAGTTAAATCTGGTGAGGGACATCAGGCACCAAGGCCTTCTATAATTACATAGGTGGGAAAGGTTAGGGAAAATGTTGGCCCATTGCCAAATGAGCCAGAGCACCTGGTTACACATGGACAAGCCTGAGATACTGAATGCCACCTTTGCCTCAGTCTTATCAGCACCACTGGCCTTTGGGAATCCCAGTCCCAGAGACCAAGGGGAAAGCCTGGAGCAAGGAGGATGTACCCTTAGAGGAAGAGGATCAGGTCAGAGAAGACTTAAGCAAACTAGACATACGTAAGTCCAAGGGCCCTGATGGGATGCACCCAGGAGTGCTGTGGGAGCTGGCAGATGTCATTGTGAGACAACTCCCAATCATCTTTGCTCAGTCACAGCGAATGGGGGAAGTGCCCGAAGACTGGTGAAAAGCAAATGTCGCTTCCATCTTCAAGAAGGGCAAGAAGCTGTATCCAGGAAGCTAAAGGCCCATCAGCCTCACCTTGATCCCTGGGAAAGTGATGGAGCAGCTAATCCTGGCAGCCATTTCCAGGCACATCAACAACAAGAAAATCATCAGTAGCAGCCACCATGGCTTTACCAAGGAGAACTTATGATTGACCAACTTGATAAACTTTTATGACTGGCCTGGTAGATGAAGGGAGAACAGTGGATATTGTCTACCTAGGCTTCAGTGAAGCCTTTGAGACCATCTCCCCTAGGATCCCCAAAGGGAAGCGGTTGATGTATGGGATGAGCAGTGAGGTGGACTGAAATCTGGATGAATAGCCAGGCCCAGAGGGTGGTGATCAGTGGAGCAAAGCCTAGTTGGAGGCCAGTGACTAGCAGGGCACCCCAGAAGTCAGTACTGGCTCCAGTCCTGTTAAACACGTCCAGCAATGACCTGGATGATGGGACAGCATATACCCTCAGCAGGTGTGCAGGTGACACAAAACATAGAGTAGCTGATACAAGAGAGGGTTGTGCTGCCATCCAGAGGCTGGAGAAATAGGATGACAGGAACCTCGTCAAGTTCAACATGGGGGAGTGCAAAGTCCTAAGCATGGGGAGGAACAACCTCAGGTACCAGCATATGCAGCTGGGCAGAGAAGGAACCTGGGTGTTCTTGTGGATACCAAGCTGAACATGAGCCAGTAATATGCCCTTTTTGGAAAGAAGAATAATGGTATCCTGGTTGCCAGCAGGTCGCCAGAGGCGATCCTTCCCCTCTCCAGTACCTGGAGCACTGTGGCTGATTTTGGGCTCCCCAGTGTAAGAGGGACATGGACATACTGGAGAGAGTCCAGCAGTGGACCACAAAGATGCTGAAGGGACTGGAGCATCTCTCCTGTGAGGAAAGGCTGAAAGAGCTGGAACTCTTCAGCCTGGAGAGGAGGCGGCTCAGGAAGGATCTCATCAAGGTATATAAATACCTAAAGGGAGGGTGCAAAGAGGACAGAGCCAGGCTGTGTCCAGTGGTAACCAGCAACAGGACAGGAGGCAGTGGGCACACACTGAAATGCAGGACGTGTTTTCTTTCTCTTCTCAGGCTGAACACTGATGCTACCAAGCTGTCCCAGATCAGATGCAGGCCCTCTCAGCTCCTGGTGACCAAAAACCCTCAGCAACATGCAGAATCTGGGATTCAGGGGGGGCTGGCAGGCACCCAAGCAGATTGTCCAGTCTCAGACCCCAGGAGAATTTGGCTGCTTTGTAAGACATTCACAAAAGATCTTCTCCTTTCGAGATCAGTCTTCAGTTTTCAGCCGGTCCCTCTAAATCTTACTGGGGGACTCAAGGGAGGGTTTGATTTTTCTTTGCAGACAGCAAGGCAGGACTACTCGCCCCTATCTACAGGCCGACGTGTTACTTGGACAATAACATTTTAAAAAAAAAAAAAAGTTACATCCACCACTTGCATAACTGTGCAGGAACCTGAGCTCATGTACTGATGGCAGTAGCTCTTCCACACGCGCTCTGCAAGCACAGACAGACAGCTCCACCCAAGCCAGGCTGAAATTCATTGACCCCCAGCTCTGAAACAGGAGGATGAACACACCTACAAGACTTCCACTATGCCACGCACCCCCCACCAAGCACTCTGCACTCCTCTACGTGTGACGGAACTCGCCCTCCCCAAGCAAAGTAATTCAAGAATAAAGCAAGGCCCGTGGGTGAACAATGCTTTCTTTAATAATAGTTAAAAACACTAGATGTTGCCCTGTTCAAGTCTTACATACAGGTAGGTGGCATAACACCTGGCTGACTTTCCAGACAGAAAATGTCTTCCTAGATTACATTTTAAAAAATTAACATTCACATTAAAAAAAAAAAATTATGTAAAAAAAAAAACCAAAATTTAACATTTTCAAGATTATCATTGTAATTTTGTGCCAACTGCCAGCTATTTTACAAATTATAGCTGCAGCCCAGGAGGTAAGTTTTAGCACTGCCTCTTCACAAGCATTAGTACATTTCATTTTTTTTGTCTTGAGACCTTGACACAACAAACTCTGAAACTCTTAAACACATGAAATGCCAGAATTTCCTCACACTTTTAAGCTAGAGAATGTATTCCAATCTTTAAACATTTGGGGTTCTGACAGCCTTATTTGCTACAACTACTTTTTTTTTTTTTTTTTAAAGAGCAATGTAAGATATACTTTACATCGAAGATTAGCAGTTCTGTGTAATCTGAAGGCAAAATGAACCATGAGTTAGGTAACATCAAATATATTCTGTCAGGATCTTCTCCTGGATCAAAAAGCCAACGGAGCCTGTCAGATGTATGACTATCAGATGTTTCTGATGCACCAGTGTCTTTTTCGGGCAGGAAATACCATCACTTTTGGCTATCTAAAAATTAACTTTGCCCTAGCTAAGGAAACAAAAAACAACTTAGGAATTAAAACATTACAGCTGAACATAGAACTAAACACTACAGCTGTAGCAAACAAGCAATGCTATGTGAGCGGTTAAAGTTAAAATCTTTCTGCATTTCCTTAAACTGATATGAACAGAGACTAATGAAGTGCACCAGTCAGTGCTGAAGGAGATCAGTCAGCAGCTGACAACCGGTACTTGCATTAGGATCGAGCCCTTCCACTGCAAAAAATCATGAGGTTATTTAAATCGGAACTGATTTATTAAGTCAAAGTTTTTACTGTTTGAAAGATTACTGTGCCAGGAAAGCATTCTACAAGAGATCAGGACAGGAAATAGAGCAACAGATCTACCTGTGTTTATCTTACGATTACACACATTTACATTACATTACAGACGTTGCAGATTTCTTGCTGCATGCTGGAAAAACTATGGTCAGACTTTAGAAGATTCTGATGTACGTTCACAACGGTGTGCATTAGTCAGGATCTCAAACGGAATCACCATCTGCTCCAAACTGAAGAGCATGAAAGTTTCATGTTATCATAGTGTGGGACCTTAACTAGGTCCACAGGTATACAAAATCTACAAAAACTTCTTACAAATTATTTAAAGCTAAGTATGCCATGCCCTTTCGGGGATCCAGGAAGCCAAACTGAGTAAACCGGAAAAAATCAAAATAACTGCAGCCTGTGCAGCATCATAGCACTAGGAACTCAGCCTATGTAAACCTGCTTTTCAGCTTTAAAATATCGATCCCCTGAGGCCTGCTTCAGGTAATGCCGGTCTGAAGACATTATGCATTTATCGGAAGAGGGCCCAGGTAATAATTCCTTTTAGCCTGGAAGTAAAGTAAAACAAAAAGGAAAAAAAACAAAACAAAACAAAATCCTAAAACCAACAAACAAACAAACAAAACGAACCGACATCCCCCCAAACAAACAAATAGCGCCAAAACAAGTATATCTCACTGCCACATTAGGCAGGAAGTGCTGGGAGATGGGGAAGAATAATTTCATTCTGAGGAAGCTGTGTGACACTACTTATTATGTATAGTTGGAAAAATCATAGTGAAAAAACTGAACACAGCAAAGCCCACTGGATTAGAAAAGCCTCTGCCTTCAAGCTGAGGACAGACTCACTTGCATTCATGCCTCATCTGCATTCCAGGAAAACTGTGCATTTGTTTCAGCAGTGAGGAAGAGACAGCTTTCCCATTCCACATAATTCACTCAAAAAAAAAAAAAATTTACTGTATTCTAGGAAGTCAGCAACCACTTGTAAGTGTGTATAGTTCCTAGCTTGTTCAACTTTTTATAAACACTGTAGGAAGACTTCAGGAGATGGAAAAAACACTCTCACTGAAGCTGCTTCAGCTACTCTGGTAAAAATAAAAGTATTTGAAATTAACTGATGCTGTATCTAAGCATCAATCTACGTAGCTTTAGATCAAGAAGTAAAAATGTTATTCTCTGGAAACCTGAACTGAAAATTAAGCAAATATCAGACTCTGTGCATTTTAGGCCTTTTTATAGCACAAACATCAATAACCTGTAACTAACAGGCACACTTCATAGCTCATTGTAAAATCAAGCTATGGCTTCCAGAGCTTGAGGAGGCCATCTTCACTGTAAGTGGCAATCAGGTTCTGGTGGGGGTGATGAGCAATGCCAATGACATCTTTTTCATGAACCTAAAGAATAAGCAGAAAGATGCATCAGGAGATTCTTTCGATTATTTCTTTAGCAAAGTCAAGCCAAATATTCCCTTCAAACAAGAACTAGAGGAAAGCTGGACTGAGGTTTCACATGCCTTACGCACACAGCAAAAGCAGAGCAACATAATCCCCCAGGATTAAGTTCCATGTGCAAACAATTTTTGTGACATAGCAGTTACTTTTTGTTGGGCAAGGGAAGGTTCGGTGAAGGCTTACATAGACTGAAATCCATGACATCTAAGTGTTCCCCACTAAATTTAGACATTCAAGTTGATATTCCTCTTTAGTTTAATCCAAGGCAAATTTAAGCCTGACAGCTTTAAATCTGACAGCTGCGTCAGATTCTCCATCAGCCAGAGCCCAGGACAAGACACGCTCTAGTTCAGATAAGTTTGAACCAATGCACTCTTGGTTTGGTGGGTAAACATTTTCATTACTTTTAAAATTAAAATGGTTCTAAAAAAAAACCAAAACAACCCTTAAAGACATTCTACAGCCAAGAATTCTGTAATGTGTTTGTTACCAGTCACGGCTGCTCTAGGTGAAAGACTCCTTGGTACAAGCCACCTTCTTATGAACTTCTCCTTATGGACTTAATAATTACTGAACATTTAGATCATCCTTGTGCTTAGAACTCTGCAAAAGCTCAAAGCTAAGAACTTACAGTTAGAGTTCTCTCCAGCTTGCCGGTCACTGTGCTAAAGCAATAGAGCACAAAATCTTCGCCAACACAGTAGATCCATTCACCACGAGGTGAAAGCGCACAGCAGACAAAGTCACCACCTTCTCTCTTACCAGAGCTAAAACTTCTCACAATCTGTAAAGATACCCCCCCAAAAAATATTTGGCAGGATTAAACTGCAGCACATCATTACTATGTTCAGGGCAAAAATACTGAGGCAGTACTAGGCCTGTTTAAAACAGGATCTTTCCACAGCTGCAATCGCTTTCTGAAGTCAAGCTGTTCTGTTACCTGCGTACAGAATAGTTTGTCATGAAAGCACACTGGAAGCTAGGTTATTAACTAGGTTTTTGGAATTCTTAAAATGACTGAGAGAATTGAAAGGATACCAGTAAGATCACATACTTGTCCTTGCATATTCATAATGACGACTGTATTCGATCTGTTGCAAACGACAAAGTGTTCTGGGTTTTTGGGCAGCAGGATGACACTGTTCACAGTAATGTCTGTCCCAGCAGTGCTGCCAAGAGATTTGAAGGTGTTGGAGCACTCTGTCGTCTTCACATTCCAAACCTAGTATGAAAAATAAATGTAAAACCAATTAACTTTAAAAAAATTAAACAAAAATGAGCTGATTCAGGATACAGATTTTTCAAGGCTCCTGAAGGGAAACATGAATTGTAGCTTAAGGCAGTTTTTTTTTAAAAATACATTATCTCATCTATTTTAAAATGTGGACACCATAAACAATTTCACTACAACTGAACTAAAAGCGAACGTCTATTACCCAAACTCAGCCTGGCACACTTTGATTAAACACATTCCCTGAGGGGTGAGTCCAGACTTGCTTTCTGGTTTTAGCTTATATGTGTGAATATACGTGCAGCCTCTGCACATGCAGTTTGCCTTACACAAGACAGACACCAATACTGCTGAAAAAGCAAAGCATCGCTGGTACTGCTGGAAAAGATGTCCAGCTTAGAGCTACTTCAGGCTCAACACAAGGCTATTCTAGCTGTTTAGAAAGAGGAAATACATTTTCTTTTAACTATTAAGCAAGCAGTTGCAACTCATTGACTGTGGAATATTTTTGCTCTTTATACACTAGTACTATCAAAATGGAAGATACTGCTGCCTTATGCTATTCCCATGATTGGGGCAGTCTAGCAAAGAGTGCAAGTTTGAAGTAATGTCTCATTTAATATGAGCAAAATCTGTCATACTCTCCTAGGCCACATCTATAAACCAGATCCATTTACATACCCCACATTCCCCCATCCACTGCATTGAAGCCCTACTTGATGTAGCTGTTTCTATAGTCATTTATTTATTTATTATAGTCAGTAATGTCCTGTACATAACAATGCTTTACTCCTTTTAACTACTACACACCAAACAGTTCCACTCTTTGCTGAGACTAGAAGCTAAACCTGTCAGAGCTTCTACAATCAATTTCATTAATGCTAGATTACCTAGCTTACATGGCAAGGGACTCCTAAGCACCAAGAAATAAACAGGTGTCCAACACAGTAAGCAAGAAAATGCCATTATTGCAGACAACGGAATCCCCACATTCTAGGACAAGAGGTGTCACGGTCAATTCCATTTATAGAAGAAAGCAGGAAGAGGCAGATAAGGACTGCAGTTATCTCCTCCTTTCATTAAAAAAGCAGAAACAGGCTCTGCAGCAATCTGTAAGCAGAGTATGAAACTTCTTGAGTTCTCATTTACACCAATCTACACCAAAGGTCACAAGCAGAAAGACTACTGCCGATAACCCCAAGTTCTTCTCCTGTGACTTGTAAACAACTCAGCTACAGCATGCAAAGAGTCCTGAATGTGTTATTTACAAAGGGGAAATTGCATCTTACCTTCACTGTGCCATCAGAGGATGCACTGATAATATAGTGGCCGTCCTGGGTGAAAGTAGCTTCATTGACGAAGGAAGAATGACCACGGAATTCCTTCAAAGTTTTCCCAGATTTTAAACCATGAATCCTGTCACACAAGAGGTCACAACTGAGTGAGCAACTGAGGTTCTCTGAACCACCCCCTGCCTTCACCGTATTTTAAATCTGAGATATCTTTGACAGGAAATAATAAAAAGTGTGAAAAATCTGCAAGCCATTAAGTCTTTATCACAAGCCCCTTTCATCAAAGACATTATGTGTTCCTGTGAAAAGCTCAGGGAAACGCCATCAACCTTAAGTCTCAAAGATCTGCCTGTAGTACACACTGCACGTATTACAAGACAGGACTATGAAAGGAGAAACTATGAAACTGGTGAAACAAGAATCACAGAATTGGAAGTGACCTCTGGAGGTCTCTAGTCCAAGACTCTTTCCTCAAAGCAAAGCCAACTTTTAAGTGAGGTCAGCTTGCTCAGAGCCTTGAGCAAGACCTTGTCCAGTGCAGTTAAGAAAAATTCTTTTCTTACGCTCAGCCAGCATCTTTCTCTTTTGCAAGCTGCTGCCATTGCCTCTTACTGGGCAGCTTTGCAAAGAATTTGCTTAGTCACCAAAAAGGGAATTATATTGCTCATCTGTATCAGCCTTAAATTGTAGTACCAAGTGGATACAGTTTTCAAGCGGAAATCTGAAGCCTTATTCCATTTGAAGCTTGCTGTCCTTGATTCAGCATCTAACCTTACACAATTTCAGTTAAAATGCTCATGCTACAGTTCATATGTATCAGTACAGGCAAGAGCCTAAAGCTATTAAACACATTACATAATCCCATTGAGTTAAACTTAAAATGTATACAGCCATCAAGCTGGATCAATATTATTCACAATGTTACATTCTAAAACTCCATTTTGAAAAAGACAAATTAAGGAAGCTGGAAACCTTGGGAAACCGACAGACTGAGAGAAATGTCATGATATTGACAACAGATTGTTGCAGAACCACCTCAGGCATCAGAATCACCTGTGGGCTGCAGAGGACATCTGCAGCAAAGGACCTGGTAAGCCACAGGGAGAACAAAGTGAAAGCCAGCAGCATGCCATTGCACTGAGGAAACCCAGGTTCCCCACAACATGGCATAGGTGTAGCCACCTCTGGAGGACTCTGTCCAGTTTTTGGTTCCCTCTGAGGGGCCACTAGGATGGCCAGAGGGCTGTGCCACGTGATGCATGAGGAGAAGCTGAGAGGACTGTATCCGTCCAGCCCAGATAAGTGAAAGTTCAGGAACATCTAATTGCTGTCATCCTTGTAGACTAAGAAGTTAAACAAGCTACTATTAAGTACTGTTAAGTCAGAATAACCCCAAAGAAGAAAAATAACTATGAACTAGACAAAACTGATCTAAGCTGCTTTAAACTGCAGCAAAGTGTCTGCATAGCAACAGAAGAGCTTTGTTGCAAACCAAATCTACCCAGTGCTGAGAAAAATGCCACCCAGTAACAAGAGACCAAATAGATGCAGGATCAGAATTATTGCACAACACAAATGTTAAGCAACACTTTCCAGACGCTAAGAGCTGCAGGAACAAGGGTTGCTGCCCATCTGGTAACTTAGATTAGAAAAGAGTTTGAGTATTTCTGTGACTACTTGCTAGTATTAAAAGTTACAATTAACTTTCATTCTTGCTTTTATCTACCCTGCACTGACCCGTGGGGGAAAAAAAAAAAAAAAAAAAAAAAA